ATTAATAAAATGTATCAAATAATAGTAAACAGCATCTGAAAAAATAGAGAATTTACTTTTAAGACTTTTCCCTAATCATATATTGACAATCTAATTATTTTTCGAACAAACTATCATTTTTTTGGTATTAATTTGCATATTGCTGTTTATACTTATTACTGCTATTTCATTAGCTAATTCCTGCTGCTAAGTAGATTTATTACTTTAAACAAACATAGAATGGAGTGGAAAATGATTAATTTTCCAAAAATTACCCTGTCTTTGAGTTATAACTCGATTGATTCTGTGTATTTCTTTATATCATGCAGCCATTAATAAATTTTCAAAAAAAAAAACATTTTTCTTTCTTAGGAAATAATTATTTGTTTAAACTAAGCTCAAACGAAAAATATTCTATAAATGATTTTTTTAAAGAAAAATTGCATTATTTCACACAATATACCATTTCCTAAGAAATGATATATTGTGTGAAATAATTATACATTACCCTTTAATTTGTTAAAAAAACGTATAATAAAGTAGATTTGTTAAATTTTGAAGCATGCCAGAAAAACTGTTAAAAAATAGTAGGATCAAAACTAGTAATGTACATTACTAGTTTTGATTGGATTTATTTTTCAACACGTGTTGAAAAATAAATCCAATCTTAGCTCTTGAATCCAATGCCTTCGATTTTTTGGGGTTTTTTCTTACTTCAAGACTAAAACTTTTGATAGTAAAGTACATTATGGTTTTAATTAGGCAATCTCATTATGAATGCATACAAGCAAAAAATTTGTCAGCTTGATTTTCATATGCTAAAATTTTGAATAAAAATATCAATTAGGATAAATAAGAAGGCTCTGAAGATTTCGGAGGGGTTGCTGATCTTTTAACTATTTTTATTTGTGTTCATTTCGTAGTCTATTACAGTACATGTTTACTTCCAATAACAACGTTGCTTCTTTTCAACTCGAAAATCGAGAAATAGAATATAGAATACAGGACATATTCTTTTTAAACAGATGGAAAAAATTGCAAAAAATATTTTGAATAGATTTTTGATAGAGAATGGTCTTAAGCGAATAAAACCAATCATTCTATTCATTAACATTTTTTATCAAACATCAATTATACAGAATTGTATATATAATTTAGATACTTACAAATGATACCAATATACGCTATTTAAAGTACATATACAATGAATCATTCAATTATTACATGTAGATAATCTCTGTAGCATGTTTTTACAAAAAAGTCAAGTTTAACAATATCGCAATTTAAATTATGTTACTAACATATTTTTTATAAAAATAAATTGTATTTTTTGTTATTATTTCTGACTTAAAAAATAACGTTAATTAATTTAAATTCCACAATTTTCCTGCGTTATTCCTTTTTATTAGCAATTCAATGAAACTTATTCCATGTTTTCATTTATAATCAAATTTCAGTTTCACTCAGAATGAATTTATCACATTTTTTTTCCTGAATAAATTTGAAATAATTATTCTCAAAACTGAAAGATAAAAATGTACTTTCTTTTGTTTCTGCTTTCGACGAATTTTTATGCGACAGTTTCTATTAGCATAAGAGCTCGGAAAAACAGAATTAAAAAAAACCTGAACTGAAAAAAAAAATTTATCAGTTTTGAACAAAGCAAAAGAATTTAATTAATAATTATTTTCTGGGTTTAGGAAAATGTTTTATATCACCATAATATGTAATTTAAAAAATAATGAAATTGTGTGTGTAAATATTATTTTTCAAAAAAAATTTTGTTTGTGTAATTTCTGAAAGTCGTGGCTAACAGAATAATCACTTAATTTAAAATAAATGCATATCACGACATTTTAAATAAGAGCACTCATCAGAACACTATAATTCAAAAGTTTGGACATTAACAAGTTAAAAACGAAGCAGTCTTGTCCCATGTTGCGGTGTTTTATAAACACATACACAGTTTTATCTAACACATTCATAATGAGCTACTTGACACACAATAAAAGCATCTTAACACTTAGAAACATTAACACAAAAATATTAATTTATTTCCATATATTTACTCAATAACTATGCTCTCTATGCCACAAAACCTAGTTGCCGTGTTTTCAAATTATATCCATGTGCAGGAGCTTTTTTCATTGGATTAAAGATATTCTTCGTAAATGCCGTTTTGGACTTGTAGCATCTAGAATCTGATGCAGTTCTGTTATTTCAGTTTCTTCCTAACTTAACTCGGGTAGAATTCTGAACTTTCTTCCTGCAAAGCAGGAAAACGCAAACACTTTTTAATATTTATTAACCTGTCAATATGCTCTCTCTGATCTTTAGCACTATCAATAACAAAAGCAATTTTGAAATTCACAATGGAAATTTTTCACAAAACTTTAAAAGGTCCCATATTTAATTTGTCTAATTTCTTAGAAACCCCTATAAGTACAGCTAAAGAACATAACATAACTAAATTATCCACTGCTGTTTTTTACCTCTAAACATCTTGTTTTACTGCCATTTCTCTAATTTTCTTAAGACATTCAAAAAAATTCTATTTAGTTCATCGAATAGATTTTCATAATAATTCTGGAATATCAGAACGCCACCTAATGTCAGAATTTTGTGAAACATTATATAGCTAAACGAGGTCATGGCCTGTAATCACAAAAGCATAACGACTTTCATCAATAGCAGAGTGCATAGTCAATCATAAGGAGCATATTTCCCAAGCTGTTTGATTTCTGTTAACAACGTGGGACAAAGCATAAACAATTGTAACATGCTGTCTTTCTATTTTAGCATTACCTATATGATGATATGCACTCGTAGCTAGGCGTCGTATACCCAATTTTTGCACTCTAAGTTAATAGCATTACTGAGAATATCAATTTCTTATTAAAACAAACGGACAGCACTGTCGGCAAGAAAAAATTTAGTAATACCTCGACAAACGCTTCCGATGTCACAGATTATACTGAATAATCCTCTGGCCATTTATAAAAACTACACGCAAAATGTAATATATAATCAAATAACTAATATTCTTATTTCCATTTCCTGTCTAAGATTATAAGGTACTCTATACGACTTTGATCTAACGTTAATATAAAAAGTCTAATTTATACGAAGTAAATAAGTATCTGGGTAAAACAGAGGTGGCAAACACATTTTTTTTTCTCAGAAACTCTTCCATCTTTTGCTCTACAGCTTCGGGTAAATCATTTAAATTCCATGAATTTTTTCATACCAAATCAATGTATTCCTTATTCCCAATTTCTGCTTCCTTTCAGAAGAAAATTTGCTCTGAGTCATTCTCCTACACAGAATAAGTTTTTTCTGCCGAAGCGAGATTTAAATTCTAGTTTAATTGGAAACTCTCATCTCCCACTTGCACAAAGGGATAACTTTCACTTCCCGCTCACTTACTGAATGTGATACTAGAATAGAGATATTTTGTTCACGGGCATAAACTAAAACATCAAGTGTTTTAAACTTTTGAGAATTACACACAGTGAATTCGTCTATTTTTTGTGACAATAGTTGATCAGTTTTCCGTTAAACAGAAGCTGGTACTGGTTCAGATGACTCCAGAGTGGCACAATTCATTAATTTTTCCTCAATTCTTTTTCCATCTATAAATATCTCGTTATTCTCCAGGCACTTATTTTCCAAAATCTTTTATGAACCGATGCTTTCTTTAGAAATGAATTCCCTAAATTTTGAGGAAATTACTTTTTTCAAAACAAAAAGCATAACAAATTTTGCCTGCAATTTCAAGTATTACTTATGCTCGTAACCTTACAGTTTTTCCAGATACACTATGAATTGGTATTTCATACTCTCCAGCTAATACTTTACCGCTTATTTATAGAAGATCCCGCATCGCATAAAGATTTAAGCTTCTTACCATACATTGCAATGCAGAGTATAGAAAGATTTATAGCTTTTTCACCATCACTCTCCAAGCTTACTTCCAAGCTTGAGTTAATTCAATTTAAAATATTTCTATTATAAAAATTTCTCTCATTTTTGGATTGATATTTTCCCTCAAATAATTCTACTATTTCTGTTTTACTATTTCCCTGTCTATTACCCTGTCTATTTGTTGAATTAAAAATCTTCCTTCTCGATTTAAAGTTTCTGGAAATATATCCTGCCTTCCCACAAGTCCAGCATTCTACGCTTTGTGTTTAATTTTCTTTTAAATTCTCAACTTGCTGAGACAATGTTTTAACCCTATCTGCAAAATTAGAACACATGACGGTCAAATTAGAATTTGACTCTAACAACTGTTCTACGCTGGTATTCTGAGGTACAGCAGCACTTACTTCCTACTAGAACCAACTCAAAATTTGAGACCTACAAGAATTTCAACCTTTTTCTTCCCATGAAAGAAACTCCTCAAGTTTGCTTAGTAATCTAGAATTAAAAATTATCAAATTAGAAAGAAGCATAGATTTTAAGAATTTCTCTCCATTTTCATCTACAATGTCTATAATAATGTCTTCTATAAACTCAATTGTTACTTTGGTAATTGCATAAGTTAAGTCATAATACACCACACGATGCTCATAATTTTGACTAGGACATCTCAGCTCAGAATTGTATGATCTAAGGTGATCCTTTAAAATAAGCGTTCCTGTTGCGCACTTGGTAAAGGTGTTCCTTACTCCACTGATGGAGAGGCTGGGGTTGTGAGTTCGATCTCGGGAGTCGATTAAACAACCGGCGTGTGCAAGCAGTAAGGTACATGTTAAATCTGCCGTGGCTGAAAGCCTTTTCGTTGGTTGTAGTGTCTAAGTTTAGAGAGAGAAAGCTATCAGCTCAGCCGCTGTCCACGTCGTCAGACCGGGATCAAAATGACGTGGCATTCCTCTAATGACTTTTTAAAGATAGAGCCCTACAAAACGAAGTTAGGATGCTTGGCTATGGTTTGGGTGATGAGTGTTCCATTAAAATAAAGAAAGTTGAATATATTTATTATTATGATCATTAATTGACTTGAAAATGTTTCCTTACAGGTTGCAAGAGCTTACCAGCAAACTGGATTTAAACGAGAAAAAAGAGGTTACAAACCTCTTCGCCTCCAAGAAGAGCGCACTCCTTTGCTTTCTGAACCCACCGATCCCTATTTTCCTTATCAATGGTACTTGGTAAGTAATTTTTACATACGTATTTAAAAAAAGCAAAATAAATAATTGGTTAAAATGCAAAAAAAAAAGTATTTATTGACATAACAGTGTAAGAGGATTCAAGAATCTGGCCTTCACAAAATTAAAGCAACCTCCTTTTACGAAATTGCTCTGTTTATCCCTTACAAAGCCTCCAGAACTACACTTATTACCAACTTCGTTGAGTTTAAATGTCGATGGGAAGTTATTTTCCCACCCATAACATATTTTGTATCATATATGTATGGATGAGGCATTGGGTTATAGGAGAAGTGTAACTCATAAATAAAAAAAGGATATCAAGAGATGCTGAAAATTAAAAAGGCTAGAAAGCACTGGTTTAAAACTAAATTTCTCTCCTCGTCGGCTGCATTAACTCAAGCCTAAAAATATTGCTTACTTGAAACTTTTTGAAATTTGATTAATTTTAAAAACCATCTAAAAGCTACCTGATTAGGTTACTATTACCTAAGTGAATATTATTTTTAAACTAAGTCATCTGAGCGTTCGAAGTTCGTCTTTTTATTTACTTATTTATTTACAGATTCGAGTTAAATCACTGATTAAATTTTTAAGGAGGTACTGGATCTCTTATGTCTAAGCTTGACAGGCACCTTCAAAATCATCAAAATGCAAAAGAGAATACTTGTGGTATCAGTTACCACGCTTGGCGAAGCTTCCCACAAATTAAAAACAAGTTTTATTCGCCAAAGGAGAAATAACGCACGAAAATTGTCGCAATTATTAATAATATAATTCAGTTTCTCTTAAATATAAAAATTTATCTTCAGTTTTAGTTCTTTTACAAAATTTTCCACAATAAGTAATTTTTTAGCAAGAAAACCAATGTTATATTGGAAAATTTACATTTTTTTAAATACAATCATAAAAGTGTAATCCGCTCATAGTTTACAAAAAGCTAAATACCTCACAAAATATAAAATTATTTAACATTAATTTTGAGCAAAATAGACACTTTGATTAATAAGGATTAATTTTGAAATTAAGAAAAAATATAATAAATAAAATTCTGAAAATCTGCTGAATAAATATTAATTCATGTTAAGTCTACGGAAAAATTTTATTCCGCTTCTTAAGGTAAATTCTGGTTATTCCGTATGCCGTTATTTTCTATAAATTACGTTTAAACGTAGAAAATCTAAGTGTTACAGTAGAAAAACTGCTTTTTACCGTTTCTCAAAACCATATTGTTTTCCAGTTGAATTATTGAACAATAGTTTTTTTACATGATAATGATATTCGGTTCTGTGTCCCTTTAAATTCTGCATTCAAGCAATCGATTCTATAACCGGTTCGGATTCATATCAACCCAATTCAATACATATCAATGCAAATATCTATATATAGGATAGATATCTTTTGTCATACTTTTGTTGATAAAACTTTTATGAATATATTACGACGCGTATTAACACAGTTAACAAATTTCTTTGATCGATCAACGTTGAGTAATCGATCTCTAACGATCACGATTCGAATCCGCATCATACTTACCACAGAATTTACTTTTCTCTGGGTTTACTTGAAATTTTTCCATAAGCTTCACAATTTTACTTTAAAAGTATCCATTATTGTTTCAAAACCTCGAGAGCTAAGCTTTGAGCGTGTAAGAAAAATTAACATGGAATTGCAAATAGTATAATTCCAAGCATAAAAGAGGGGAAAACGCACAGGTATTTTATCCTAAAAAGTGTATAAAATACACCGAAGAGCCATTACATTATGACCACCCTCCATCTATAACAATGGGCTGTCCCAGGTTTTCGTGGTTTCTCGCCCAGGAACAATGTTTTCATGGAGGAACATTAGACCCATAATCCTCATAGATAAATCCCTGACGTCTGTAAGCTACTTGAACATAGTTCACCCATTCATGGCATCACTTTTCCTGCTGGGGATGATGTTTACCAACAGGATAATGCACCATGTCAGAAGGGTCGAATCGTCATGGATTGGTTCGAGGAACATTCCAGTGACTTTCAAGTGATGTGTTGGCCCTCAAATTCACCTGACCTTAAGCCAATAGAGCATTTGTGATCCTACTTTTAAAACCAAATTCGTGCTGCCACGCTACACCCTCGTAATGTAAGGGAATTGCAAGACCATTTGGTGAGCGCTTGGTACCAGAAATCTCAGACTAACAATCAGCACCTTGGGGAATCAATGCCACTGCGGGTGCTAGCAGTTTTGAGGGCTAAAGGTGGTCCTAAATGTTATTAGCAGGGTGGTCATATTGTAATGGCTCTTCGGTGTATATGTTGAAACAAAAAATTGTGCAATAATATGCTACATTAAGGAGCAATGTTTAATTTAAAAGCATAAAATAATAAAACAGTCTCATAATTTAATTGACAAGTAATTAAAAGCTTCCGTAACAGAGGGGACAAGGAAAGTCCCACATTTTTGACATGCACTGCTATTTCCGCTATATTCTGTGATTTGGAACATCCTAAACATTATTTGTAGTTTTTTTTTATTATCACATTTCAAGGTAAAAAAAATTATTATAAGACTTTTTAAATTACTTACACATTTTTATTAACTTCAAAAAATGCACTGTAACAGAGGGGACATTTTGCAAATTTGACAAATAGTTACAGGGAAATATCATGCCATTTAATTAAACAGTGCACCTTAAAGTAACATATTATTGCAAAATTTTTTGTTTTCTCATATATTTGATACATTTTTTATGATAAAATACCTGCGTGATTTCCCCTCTGTTACGCTTCTAATTCTACTACCGGATTCAGTTGGCATGGAATTCGACAATATTATAATCATTATCTTTTTGATCTCAGCTTATTATAATCATTATCTTTTGATTATAATCGTGATCTAACCAGAACTTCGAATTTAAGCAATTATCGAGTTATATCGAATTGACTGTGTTTTTTGAGGGATCATTGAATTGAAAGAAAATTATCCACGTCTAGACGTCTACTACTTTTAATGAAGAGTATGATACACATTTTCTTCGTGCCAAAGTTCTCAGAACTCTTCTTTCCAAAAGAATTTTAAACTATTCAGTAAACACCATTATAACATGATTTTTACCGATTAAAATGATAAATAATTTCAATATGAAGGGAGTAATAAAATATCAGGTGTAACCATAAAAAATTTTAAATTGTTTAAAGTCAAATTGGATTCAGTTACATGAGAAAAGTTATAGAGAGCAGAACATTTTAAAAAAGAAATAGAGAACACTTAGGAAAATTAATTTTTGTACAGATCTTCTGGGTGCAAAATTTTTCCAGATAGTTTGAAACCTTTTTCTCATTAAAAATATTTTTAACTCAATAAATGTATTAAAGTTATTTTATAAATTTAGTTTTAATTGCTATTAAATTTTTTATCGGTTAGTTAAACAATAATTTTTATGAAACTAAAACTGAAGTTATTTAAAATCACGTTTTACTTTATTCTGAGCAATTTGAGTACTAAATGAAAACACTTTTTGTAATTCATTAAAAGAATAACAATCTCAAATATCCATGGTATTTTTCTATCAACATTGTTTTTGAGCATGAGCACCGCAACATTCTAGCAGCTCAGCTTATCGACAAATTAATAAAAATAGCTTTCGTAGTTGAATAAATTAAATAAATTAATTTTGAGTTCTTATTTCTATAAAATATTCTTAAAATAATTATATTGAAAGATCAGCTTTATACCAGAATAGATAGAAAAACTTAGAATTTTAGATATAAAATTATTCATATTTAAAATAATGTTTCTTGAAAATAGTATATTACAAAGAAAAATTTTATTAAATGAAATTTGAAAAAACATTCATCTGTATTTTTTAAAATGTATAAAGGCGGGAAAAAAATGCCTGCCCAATTCAAGGTTTGCGTAATTTAATTATTATTTTTTCTTAAACTGATTTTTAAAGTATAACGGTTTTACTGGTTTAAATTTACTATTTAAAAAAATCTTGTTTAATTAATCATTTAAATACATTGGGTCTGTCATTTTTTTATAGTCACGAACGTTATTATTTTAATCGCAATTGGTATTTAATTCAATTTCAAGAAGACAGAACACATAAATGACAATAGTAAACTACTAAATCAACTATTTCGAGCCATTTTGTTCACTCCGTATAAAACTGTTACAACAATAACAAAAATCAAATGATTTTAAGATTGTTAAGTCTCTTACCATTTATTTTTATTACATTTTTATTAATCGCGAAAGTGGAATCTTGCAATCAAAATTTTGAACAATTAGAGTTCTAAAAACCCTATTAAATCTTCGGATCAAATGACGAAATAAATTTCTGCCTTTTTCCCGATGCAACAAACGGAATTTATTTCTATTCCAGTGTAGAGAATATACCATCAATCAAAATTTCAACCTTTTTTCGGTTAAAGTTTGCAAACGAAACTCATTGTAATTGTAATATATTCCCAAAAGGAAATTTTCAGGCAATCAAAATTTTGCATACTTCCAAACAAGCTAGCACACTTTAGCTGGAAATCTATCTATAGCATTACCAAGTTAAAATCTTTTTAAGATAACTGCAAACGGAATATATATATATATATATATATATATTCCGTTTGCAGTTATCTTAAAAAGATTTTAACTTGGTAATGCTATAGATAGATTTCCAGCTAANAAAAGCATTATCTTGCAAGAAGTATCATATATATGAAGATATGATATGAGATGAATTTAAAACGAAATATGTGTTTAAAAAAAATATAGATTCTAAAAAATCAACAAACACGTGTTACAAATCATAAAATAAATCATCAAATTTATCTTCTTTTAAAGACTATGATTAAAAGAAATAAAAACTCTTCGAATCCTTAGAAACAGATAGCACCGAATTCATATTGAAACAGGTCTCCCCGCAAAGTGTCAGAAATCTCCATCACAATGTAGACCATTATCGTATCATCTAGAAGTCTCACCTTGAAACCTTCCTTAATGTAATAATTAGATGGATG